GGTGTATCTTTGGCTATGTGTATTTTCACCAAAAAAAAGAAGGTTGAGAAGTTAGAGGGTTAATATGTTGTGGAATTGTTAACCAATGTCATAAAACAACATGTGTACTACTGTTTCATGAGAAACTATTTGTTCCGTAAGCCTTCACCTGAAGTACAATAAAGTATAAAAAAGAAAGGAAAAAAAAGTCACTCTAGTCTTATTCAGCTGATTAAAAAGAAGTATATTATTTATTTTTGGTTTTGCTTTCTTGTTTTTCCCTTTACCGTTGTCTTTGTTCTCCACCTCACAGGATGTGTGCATGTAAACTTTAAATGTTTCATCAATCCTTCAGTGAACTGTTATTTACAAAAAACAGATGATTTTTAAAAATCCTTCTGCCATGTCTAAAATACTGGTTTAGAAAAAACCAAAATTCATTTAAGGAGTAAACCAATGGCTAGTAAAGCTTGTACCCAATATTTAAAAAGACATAACAAAGTATATCAGAGAGCACTACGTAGTTGAGAAACAGTTTTTAGTTCTCCTAGAATTCAGATTTCTGGGGTCCATGGAATTGGGCTGACCCCACTCATGCCATTGGTCTGAGGTGATCACTTGAACCTTCAACCTTAAGCCAACTGGTCTCCTAAAAGTGACCTTTAAGTCAAACAATAATAGTCTTGCTAGTCAGTAAAGACGGTTTTGCCTTGGGCATTGTACTGTTTTGAGAATTCAGTTTCCAGAAACAGACTCTAAGGTCAGACTGGAAGCTGTGCTTTAGGGTAAATTGTTACTATGAAAACACTGTTCTGGTCTTTTCCATGGCAGTGTCGATAAGATGGGGTGTAAGAATCTTTGGAAGTTCTGTTCTCGTTGGGAGTACTTTAACTATCAGAAGTGTTGCCTGATTTGCAAATCATATATTAAATAAACTTGAAATCAATTTATATTATTGGCTCAATATGATTTTTGTTTTAACATAGTAATTATCCTTTCTCCCTCGAGGAGTGGGGAATTTTTCCTTCTGTTTCTGTGATTGTCTGGCTATGGAGTAAAATGGAAGCAACAGAAAATTTGGAGGCAAAAGAACCTGGCTTTGGTCTTAACCCACGTCCAGATCTATGACCGCAGCCATACTTGCATCGTCTTGTGTTTTCCTCCACTGTAGGGTGTGCTGTGAGTGGTTGCACGTAAGCATAAACCACATTGGGGCTTAACAGATCGCTCATAAGCAAGTATTTTTGTCAACCTTTATCAAAATATTATTTTACACAAATGTTAACACAGACGATTGACTAAGATTTTGGTACGTGGAAACATCCTATTTCCACTCGGCCTCAGAAGGAACGCACACAGCAGGTTAAGCTAGGTTCACCATCCACGAATGGGCACCACCTCTAGTTAGCCCCACCCCTAACAGTATTGCGTCCTTGCTATTGGTTCTTTTCGCCTTTCGGTTGCCACGGAGTCCAAGGCTATGGCAACTGGGAGAAGCCAAACTTGTTCCTCCCTCTCGAAAGGTGGAGGGGTCCCAACGTGTTTCGGGACTCCGCACGTAGTTCATGGCGCTCTACGAGCTCTTCTCTCACCCTGCCGAGCGCGGCTACCGCGCGGGGCTCTGCTCCAAGGCCGCGCTGTTTCTGCTGCTGGCCGCAGTATTCACATACATCCCGCCGCTGCTAGTGGCCTTTCGGAGCCACGGTGAGCCAGCCCCCGAGCGGTGCGCGACACGGCTCCCCGCGGCCCAGCAGGCCATCTTCACCTCCTCCCTGTCTTCTTTACCTCAGGGTTTTGGCTGAAGCGGAGCAGCTACGAGGAGCAGCCGACCGTACGCTTCCAGCACCAGGTACTGCTCGTGGCCCTACTGGGACCGGAGCGCGGCGGGTTCCTTGCCTGGAGCACGTTCCCTGCCTTCAACCGGCTGCAGGGGGACCACCTGCGCGTCCCACTCGTTTCGGTGCGTGGTTTCTGCCCCGGCCCTGCAGCCTACCCCGACTGGGCGGGAGATGAGGGTGGGGGTGAAGGAGGACGAGGGCCCCTGGCCGGGGAGAGCCCAGCTTGGGTCTTAAGGGTCCGCGAATCCAGGGAAGTTGTTTACACAGGCTTGTGGGCCTGAGCTTATGTGTAATTTCCTGGGGAGTAGGTACATAATGTTTCATTTAGGTTCTCCGAGAGTTCCACGACCTCTAGAAAGTTAGTCATTGTTGTCAGGAAACGCTGGGGCCAGAAGCCTGGAAACTGTGTGTCTCTGGACCCTGTCATTTCTGTGCACCTGGCCTGATGGAAGGGTGACAGTGAGAGTGCGTTTGTGTTAATTACCCCGATCGTGTCGCTGCAACTGCACATCACAACACCGTAGCAGCGGAAAGATCAGGCATTTTCACGCTTACTGGACATAGGAAGCCAAGGCGCTCCTTGGTTAAGCGATCATCCCAGAAGGTGCTGCTGGCCAAGTCACACCTTCCTAGACACTGCGCCATCCAGCATTGTCGCATGAAATGAAGCATTTTACTGTCTGTAATGTACAAAGGGGCGCTGGTCGCGCAGTGGTTAAAGCACTCGGCTGCCAACCAAAAGTTCAGCAGTTGGAATCCACCAGCAGCTCTGACAGAAAGATACTGGCAGTCTGCGTCCATAAAGAGTTACAGCCTTGGAAACCCTATGAGGGCATTTCCGTTCTCTACTAATAGGGTTGCTATGAGTCAGAATCGACTGGATGGCGAAGGGTTTGGAATGTAGTACAGGTAGTCCCGGACATAGGATGGGGTTCCGTTCCCACGGAAGTCGATTCCGACATCAGTTGAATACCTCATTTTCCCCCCATTATTATTGCCTTTTATCAACAGTATCTTTATAAATCCGATCTTTATTCGTCTTTAGTGGTTGGCATGAGAATGATAACATCAGCAAATTACGCTGCTGCAACATTGTGTGTAGTACATATTACTAACAATAAGATGTACCAAAAAAAGAAAAAAAGGACAATGCTAAGTATGGTTCCTCCTAACTGAAGTAGGTTGTAAGTCGGGGACTACCTGTATTTGGTTCAGAATAAGTGAGTGCTTCCTTTACAGTCACCGCTTTCCACTCATTTTCTGAGAACATCTTCCTTTAGATGTGTGAAACTTTTGATCTTCCCTTTTCAAAAATTGAATTTCTGGACACCTCTGAGGTAATAGCCTAGGAGCTATAATTGTTTTAATTTGCTGGAAAAAAAAAATTCAGACTTTTTCCAGCAATTCAGTAAGATGAAATAAAAAAAATATCTGATTGGTCATATGAATAACTGTAAACAAAATATAGTTCTGATTGCCTTTTTTTCTGATTATAAATTTTTCTCACTTTTTTTTTTTCTGATTACAAAAATGCATGCCGATTGTAAAATATAAAAGAGTTACAGGTATATAACCTGACAGAAAATTAAAGGCTCAGTTTGATATGTGTGTCATTACTTGTTGATCAACCTTATTCTTTTATAAGGTCTGCAAACTATTTCATCATATGGAAAAACTATAACGTATTTAGCCAGTTTCCTGTTGATGGATGTTTGATTTGCTTGCAGTTTTTCATTATTAGGGTCAATGCTGTAAAGAACAAGATTTTGAATATCTCTTACACCTTTTAATGTCAAATTGTGAGGAATTAGAATAGAAGCTGGTTGTTGAAATTGTGAAAAGTACATAGAAAATTAAGTAAACAAATACAGGAAAAGTAATTAGAGTTATGAACAATGCTTCACCAAAAAACTAACCAAACCCATTGCTGTAGAGTTGATTCTGACTCACAGAGACCCTATGGGACTGAGTAGAACTGCCCCACACGGTTTCCAGGGCTGTAATCTTTACAGAAGCAGACTGAGACATCTTTGTCCTGTGAATTGGCTTGTTGGTTTGAACTGCCACCCTTTTGGTTTGCAGCTGAGCACTTAATCACTCTGCCACCAGAGCCCCTGAACAGGATTTACATTGTCATGATTATACTGACTAACCAAAATGACAGTTTAACTGGGAAAGGTATGTACGTGGTGGGGTCTGGTAGAAGAGGGATGTGGTAGCAAAAAAGCTAAGTCTGTCTTTCCATATGGAAGGTCAATAGAGAATGCCTAGAACTGAGAAATGAAGAGGTACCAATCCAAACTTATTTATAGACATGGAGATATGTTTCTAAATAGATAAATGAGATCAAAGATTTGCCGTTGGTGGGGTGGATGGAAGTCTGCTTTTTTTAAAAATTGATTTTAAAAATAGGACTGGAGTAGGAGACATTTCTTTCAGTTGCTCCTCACTAGTTATAACATGTTGCCCATTTTTATTCTTATTTGAGATTATAATGCCTCGGGAGAAGGGTGATTGTGGATGAGGGGTCAGTGTTGAGGTAGACTTACTTTTCACTGCATTCCCACTGTATTTCTTGGATTCCACGTGTGTGTATTTCTTTCGCAAAAGTGGAAACTTTTTTCTTTTTTCAAACATGGGAAAAGTTAACTTGTTAGTTTCACTTTAAGGTTTTTTTTCTTTACATTTGTTTGTTCAGAGTCCCTGGGTGGTATAAAAGGTTAAAGTAAAGCATAGAGTCCACCCAGAGGCTCCTGAGAAGGAAGGCCTAGCGATCTACTTCTGAAAAATCATCATTGAAAACCATATGGAGCACAATTCTATTCTGACACACAAGAGGTTGCCACAGTTCTTACTCTGACACACATAGGGTAGCCATGAGTTGGAAAAGACTCAACAACAACTGATTTTTATCATACTCTTCTGGTTATTTGAGTCTAAAAAATAATCTTGAAGGCTTAACATATTACAAAGGTACAGCACTAGATTTCATTCGTTCTTTTTACTCCACGTTCACCAGCCTCCATGAAAGGTTGCTTTCCCAGTTGGACTGCTGGTTAGCCTCTTATCTCTGTCACCAGAAGCCACTCCCTTCAGAGCACTATCATCCTCCTGCTCCTGGTGTGTGTGGGTTCCCATTTTCAGTCTACAGAGCCAAGACTATCTCTTATTTTTATGATACCTAGAACAATTAATTCTGTTTAACACTGGATAATTTTACACTGTTGATAAAACACAAAACCCAAGCTTCTTTTTTTTTTTTTTTTTCATTCTAGTCCAGTGTCTACAAGTAATTTATGACCTCACAATCTGTAGTCTAT